GATCGGTGTAGAAGACGCCGACCTGCAGCGTCAATGGTCCCAAGCGATCGGTTTGTGCTGGGACAGCGCTTCCGGTGACGACACAACGCCCAAGCGATAACACACGCTAACACGCAAAGGCTCATGGGTAGACGATTGTTTGTAAACTATGGCCATCGGACGCATGCGCAGGTGACGACTCCCCCGCTTTATTAAAGTGGTGCGTTTCTCGGGACGAGGACTTTTTATTTTGTCTTTTGTACTCAGAAATAAGTGGTAAATACTTGAGTAGTTGTAACGAGAGTGAGGTTAGCTCGTAATCATAGAATAAAGAAATTTCCAGAATCATAAATTACTGCTAATATTTTCAGTTTATCATTGTAGTACAAATGTATAATATATTACACTTTTCACAAATTATGGCGCGTACATTGTTTCGGTTTTTAGACAGTTAAGGATATTCAGTTATCCGTTCGCTAACATGAAATTGTCTCGTACAATATTAGTAACTTAATAAATAAAATATCATAAAGCTTTAGGCAAAAGTCATACCGGGCAATTTACAAGTCCAAAAACACAAAACAAATGACCGCCGATGAAAACAAAACAATAAATACACTACATAGTCAAATCAGTATTTCATTATTTAGGCCCTCTCTGTTTGTTCCTGAGGCAAGATTTGCAATTTTCACAATATCTATGGATGCCCAATGCAACTTCACAGTGAATCAGTTATTTCCTTCAAGAAATAATGACCTAGTGTGAAATACAGATTGTAATTTGCTTAAATGTGTATCGAATAAATGTCATACTAAGGAGAGATGAGTTGCAATTTGTTGACGACAATATCACTCACTGAGGCCAGTGAGTCTGAACCATGATAGGTACTTATATGCACCATAGAGACAGAAACCTCCATTAACGAGTCTTTTTATTTTCATACATTTTCAAGATGGCGGCCCCCATATAGTAAATATCGGTAGATTAATCACATTTATTTTAAGTGTACACCAGCTGACTGTGCTTATATGGTCAATGGCCGTCACTGAATCATTCTTTGTATACGTTTCCATAGACCTTAGGACATTCAACTGCGAGTATCCCTTTCATGTAACTTTAGTTATAATCCTCTGCCCAATTAACTATGTCAGCACCACTGTTACATCTTCCTCTGTTCCGTAAGCATAACATGGCTGCCAGTGTGTAGTTACACAAAATTGGCCAACTTTTTCCTAATTATCAATTACACAGGAATATTAAAGACAAACTTATTTTGTTATATTCTGACTGGAAGAAGCTGAATGAAATTACAAATTATTTAGTGTGTTCAATTTGTGTATGAACAATTAACAACTTTAATAAATATGATTTTACTTGGTAAAAAATACTGTATTCTAGATTATAATGCCCCATTATCATCTAGATAATGCACTGAACAAGGCCAATCGGTCAGAAAATGCTACACGAGAACAAATATCGTATCAGAAACATGTGATAAGGAATATTGAAAAACTGAATAATTAATTGTGCAAGCCAAGTTATGCTCGTCTCAACACAACATGGCATTGGGCATCAAATGATAGACATCTTGACTAGTTTCCAATTATTGGGGCACAACCATACTCAAGCTAGTGATAGCAATGTGGTATCTTTAGCAGCTCTTAATATCTTCACAACTCAAGAGACTGCCTAGACTCAAATCGACCCCTTTGAAACTATAACAACACCACTAAAAGGATCAAGAGAGTTCTTCGATCGTACAAAAGCTATAGTACCCAAATGAAAATACATGTAATACTTTATTTTATTTAGATTTGTTTTAGTAAGAAGTGGTGAACAAGCTATGACTGTTCACTTGTATACTAGACATTTGTTAGTCATTGACATTCCATGAAAGCCATTCTTTCTTAGGTAGATTTTTTCGGAAGATTTTTCAGGCAATGATTTTAAAGATACATGGCTGCATCTCTAAATGTATAGTATTTAAATAATACCTCTTAGATGGTACATTTTAGCTGATTCGGTTGGTCAGCGACTAACCTGGCAACTGTTTAATGTTTTTCTTAAGACCAACCTTGTGCTTCTAGGCCAATCGCAAACGTTTTCACAACTAAGTCAAATCTTCAAAACATAGCACTTTTATATCCTACCCCCCTGTTCTCATGAACTGTCCTAGGACTTTTATATGAATAAGATGCATCGCCAGGATTAACTGTACTAAGAATAAACCACAAGTGCTGGGCTTGGAACTCAAAGCCCATAACTTGCATAATGTGACAAACTGCCAATTGAGCTATCTGGAACACGATGTTGGTTATGGTTTGGGGGCAAATATTTGGAGTTGAATAATTAATATTCAAAAGAAGCTAGTTATGCAAATTTTCATCAGAATGATGCACCCTGACCAGGTTTGTATACCACCCTTCTTGCACATGTAAAGGTATATCGTATACACCATGACCCAGTTTGCATGGTGTTATAATCATTTGTAGTAGTGGTGTATTAATACAATCATAGCACTACTAATACAACCCTTGCTCATTGAGAATCAAGATTAAATAAGGAATACAAATCTAAACGTTTACTTTGCAGCAGCTTCGATTGGAGTATCAAATGTGCAATATAAGCTTACTTTATTTCAAAATAAATATACCAACACATACCAAAATATCTAACAATGAAGGGGGTCAGACATTTCCGTTCATTTACCATGTTACAGGCATTGCCCATTTCCATTGTGAGTGATTTGTTAAACATACCAATGAAAGATCTGATTTTCGATAAACCAAAGGTTAGGTATTAAAATATATATATATATATATATATATACAAGTTTCTTCAATTATTGTATCATTTACAGGTGTTTAGCACTATGGATTTACTTGTTTCTGGTGAAATAACTTATTCTCATCATCATATATTTATGATCATACGTTTATGCAATTTATATTTATTTTTCAAGAATATTTCATCGGAATCGCAACAGACTGCAAGCAAGTCTAGACATTGCGGTACATGTAAAAAATGCAATGACAAGTCTTTTTACATTGTCAATATTTTTATTCATCATCAGTAAAAAATAAATTCAAGTTTTATATTCAAAGTATTTGATACATACAAGGCAGTACATTATAGGGATGCTACATTAACATATACATGAATCATCTGTGCATTTACACCAATGTGATCTAGTCTCCCGTGGATATACAACATAGCATCCGAGCAAGCAGCCTAATCGATCATGTTCCCCGGGCTCTGCTGTAAAAAAATGCTAACACGAAGTAGAAATGACAACAGCCTCAATAATGCAGATTTAAGCAGTTTGTTAATTTGACATTACCACCACCCTTCAACATTAAAACTAACATTTGCGTACTTCCCTTTTCAACCCTACTCTAGTGGGTAAATGTCTGTGAAAAGAACATTGCAAAGACATCAGCTGCATGTACACGCACATGTACCTAACAACCACCAACATAATGGAATGTACCTAAATAAGTAAGAATAAAATTTGACTGTCTATTGCAATCAAGACTAAAATATAAAGTGAATGGGTATAGCAGTGTTAAAGCAAGAAACAAACGAGTACTACATTGAGTTTAACAATTCCATCAAAAATCGAAAAAAATAAATGTGATAAAATGCATTGGTTCATTCATAGCAAGTACTCTGTACAATCACCAACAACTTGTATACAATATACATGTCTATATTGATGAAGATTTACGTGAATTCCCATTTGAAGTCAAGTAATTGTTGTGTTGTAATCTCCATAGTCGAGTGTAATGCAATCGCTACGATGTCATTTCTATCATATAGCTCCTAGTAAGCTGTCTCAGTTCCTGTAATGCATAGTCTTCTGGCATTGGTAAGTTGCCGATATGTGGAGCTAACAAACGTGATGGTATTATAGGCTCCAACTCTGGATTTAAAGACTGTTGCTACAATAAGAAATAACAAAAATTGGTGAATTCCAGCCTTCCAAATCATTAATTTCACAAGTTTAGCTTTCCAAAACATTCATACAAGGATTGTAGCCTCCACAAACATTTATACATAGATTTTAGCATGCCAAAACATTCATACATAGATTTTAGTATTCCAAAATATTCATGCAAGGAAATTAGCCTTCCAAAACATTCATACATAGGTTTTAGCCTTCCAAAACATTCATAAGAAGGTTTTAGCCTTCCAAAACATTCATAAAAAGATTTTAGCCTTCCAAAACATTCATAAGAAGATTTTAGCCTTCCAAAACATTCATAAGATTTTAGTATTCCGAAATATTCATGCAAGGATTTTAGCCTTCCAAAACATTCGTACATAGATTTTAGCCTTCCAAAACATTCATACATAGATTTTAGCCTTCCAAAACATTCGTACATAGATTTTAGCCTTCCAAAACATTCATACATAGATTTTAGCCTTCCAAAACATTCGTACATAGATTTTAGCCTTCCAAATCATTCATACAAAGATTTTAGCCTTCCAAAACATTCATACATAGATTTTAGCCTTCCAAAACATTCATACATAGATTTTAGCCTTCCAAAACATTCATACATAGATTTTAGCCTTCCAAAACATTCATACATAAATTTTAGCCTTCCAAAACATTCATACATAAATTTTAGCCTTCCAAAACATTCATACATAGATTTTAGCTTTCCAAAACATGCATACATAGATTTTAGCCTTCTAAAACATTCATACATAGGTTTTAGCCTTCCAAAACATTCATACATATATTTTAGCCTTCCAAAACATTCATACATATATTTTAGCCTTCCAAAACATTCATACATATATTTTAGCCTTCCAAAACATTCATACATAGGTTTTAGCCTTCCAAAACATTCATACATAGGTTTTAGCCTTCCAAAACATTCATACATAGATTTTAGTTTTCCAAAACATTCATACATAGATTTTAGCCTTCCAAAACATTCATACATAGATTTTAGTCTTCCAAAACATTCATACATAAATTTTAGCCTTCCAAAACATTCATACATAGATTTTAGCTTTCCAAAACATGCATACATAGATTTTAGCCTTCTAAAACATTCATACATAGATTTTAGCCTTCCAAAACATTCATACATATATTTTAGCCTTCCAAAACATTCATACATATATTTTAGCCTTCCAAAACATGCATACATAGATTTTAGCCTTCCAAAACATTCATACATAGATTTTATCTTCTAAAACATTCATAGATTTTAGCCTTCCAAATCATTCATACAAAGATTTTAGTATTCCAAAATATTCATGCAAGGATTTTAGCCTTCCAAAACATTCATACATAGATTTTAGTCTTCCAAAACATTCATACATAAATTTTAGCCTTCCAAAACATTCATACATAGATTTTAGCTTTCCAAAACATGCATACATAGATTTTAGTCTTCTAAAACATTCATACATAGATTTTAGCCTTCCAAAACATTCATACATATATTTTAGCCTTCCAAAACATTCATACATAAATTTTAGCCTTCCAAAACATTCATACATAGATTTTAGCTTTCCAAAACATGCATACATAGATTTTAGCCTTCCAAAACATTCATACATAGGTTTTAGCCTTCCAAAACATTCATAAGAAGGTTTTAGCCTTCCAAAACATTCATAAAAAGATTTTAGCCTTCCAAAACATTCATAAGAAGATTTTAGCCTTCCAAAACATTCATAAGAAGATTTTAGTATTCCGAAATATTCATGCAAGGATTTTAGCCTTCCAAAACATTCGTACATAGATTTTAGCCTTCCAAAACATTCATACATAGATTTTAGCCTTCCAAAACATTCGTACATAGATTTTAGCCTTCCAAAACATTCATACATAGAT